ACGTACAGACTGTTAGCACCTGAGACGTACTCAGTGAACACTGGGGGAATAAAAGAATGAATCTGATTCTTGGGCACCTGGGTGGCTTATTGGGTTAAGCGTCCGACTTGATTTCGGATCATGTCATGATCTCACAGGTCATGGGTTTGAGCCCTGCATTGGGCTCCACATTAACAGTGTGGGGCCTGCTTGGGATTCACTCTCTCTCTCTCTTTCTCTCTCTCTCTCTCTCTGTCCCTCCCCAGCTGGCATGCATGCACTCTCTCTCTTGCTCTCAAAATAATAAACTTAAAAAAAAAATGAATCTGATTCTTTAAAAAACTGTAGCAATCAATCTTATCTAAACTTCATCTAAAGTTCCAAAAATAAATTTTCTAAGTTAGAATTAGATCTCAGAAACCCTGAGCCAAAAAGGCAGGCCACAAAAGCACCTGCCACATTAGCCGTTTCTTTCTTCAACCGGTGTTTCTCACTTTTTTCCATATAGCCCTCTTAAGGAGCTCTTTTAGACAATTTTTCCTAACCATACCCACCATGAAAGTTTAATAACACTGAGATGTATATGTGCTTTATACATTAAAAAAGCCAGTATAAAGTTTCTTCTTTTTTACTCAACAATGGATTTGGAATACCTAAATAAATATTTTAAGTTAAAATAAATATTTTAAGTTAAATTGAATATTTTAAAGCTATTAACATTTAACTTTATAACTGTATTTGCTGAGTGGCTTTTAATGTATCAGATTACACATGCAAATTTCCAATTTCTACATAACAATATCAATGCAACCAAATTTTTAACAGACATTCAAAACTGCTATTTTTCAATGGTAAAACAATTGAAAATTTGTCTTCTTAAAAATCACTTTTTAAAGAAGTTATTTTGGGGAGTGTCTGGCTGGCTCAGTTAGAAGAGTATGTGACTCTTGATCTCGGGGTTGTGAGTTCGAGCTCCACACTGGGTGTAGAAATTACTTAAATAAAAAATGAAAATGGAAACTTAAAAAAAAGTTATTTTCAGTGAACTTCTGTTTCACAGAAGAAAAGAATTTTTAACTTAAGTAGCTGCAGATATTCATTCAGATACTACTGATATGTTCTTTTTTTAGTACCTGACAACTACTGGTGGACTGAATAACTTTATTAGGATTAAATAATAAAATATAACCTGTTCCTATTTAATTTTCAGATACCAAGTCATTCATGAAAGCACTCAGGGCCAAACATAAGCAACATCCACAAGGCATCCAGTGGGTGGCCTGTACATAGGAGGAGGTCACCAGGAGAGACAGAACTTAAAGATCAAGTAACTGATACAAAGTTCTCCAGTCCTTCCCATTTATTTGTCGTAGGTTTATAGTACTGACCTTGCATACATACTGTATATCTGTCATGAACTTGATGTGAACATTGCTTACGTAATACCCAAGAAAACTCAAGGAAAGAAATTTTAATGCTAAGTAATAAGATATTGTTGATCAAGCTCTGAAGGGCCATAAAACCATTGTAATATCTAAGATGTTTTTGCCTCCCTCCAGAACCCATTTCTGCCACCCTTGAGGTTGCAAGCCCTAACTTCTGTGTTCCCACATTTATCCTCCTAGCAACTAAACGGAAAAACAACAAGAAATACCAGTTTACCTAAGAAAACACTCCATCCCCCAGCCACCATGACAGTTTCTCTACCACCATCATCTCCTGAGAAACTCTGAAAGAAAAGGAAGTCCCATTTTATTAGCTCTCCTCCCAAAAAGGAGCATCCCCCCCACAAAAGTATACACTTCTAGAAATGGAAGAACACTTAGGGTTCATCCAGCCCCACCTTCTTCAGATGAGGAAACTTAAAAGAACCCTAAGAAAATGAGACTTACTCAATGAAATCACTAAGTTGTAGATAGAAACCTTATCAGTCTGGTGCCCCATTGTATCTGCGGGCAGATGTCTGCACACATACTGAATACATGGCTAACGGGCAAATTACTGACAGAGAGCCCAGTTCATCTAATTCCTAGCTACTTTTCCAACTATACCACATGGCCCCCTTCTACTTCCCTAGGATATAAAATAATAGCCACAAAGCCTATCAAATGTATATTAAAGTGTTTAAAAAGCTCCCCGGCTGAAATAAGCCATTTTAGTTTCACACACCCAGTAAAATTGAAGAGCCAGGTCTTGTTCACTCCGGGTAGACATGGTAGAGTGCTCAGGCCAATGAAATGTTAGGGACTTTCTACAAGAAAGTCAAGGGTACCCAGTCCACAATGCACTACTTCCTACTTGCTTACACGGCCTTGAGCTCTATTCTGGAGTTCTTATACACATGTCATATCTCCCTACCTAGACAGAGAACCCTAGAGAGCTAAAACGGTGTCTTCTCTTTCTAAGGCACCTACCAAGTTTCAGCACAGAGCAAATGTTCAATAAATGTTTGCAAAATTTGGGGGCCTGGGTGGCTCAGTCGGTTGAGCCTCCGACTTCGGCTCAGGTCATGATCTTACCGTACGTGAGTTCAAGCCCCACAGCCGGCTCTGTGCTGACAGCTCTACCTGCTTCGGATTCTGTGTCTCCCTCTCTCTCTGCCCCTCCCCCCCCAAAAACTAAAAAAACATTTTCTTTTTTTTTTTAATTTTTTTTAATGTGTAGTTATTTTTGAGAGAGAGACAAAGCACGAACAGGAGAGGGGCAGAGAGAGAGGGAGACACACAATCCGAAGCAGGCTCCAGGCTCTGATCCGTCATCACAGAGCCCGACACGGGGCTCGAACCCATGAACTATGAGATCATGACCTGAGCCGAAGTCAGACACTCAACTGACTGAGCCACCCAGGCACTGCCAAAAATAAATAAACATTTTTTTTAATGTTTGCAAAATTTATACCAATAGAAATGGGGTACTGTGAGGGATAAATGTGAATTTGGCAGGAACAAAAAAATTTGTTTATACTTTGCTCACCTCCTAGGACCAACATAGTACATTACATGTTAACAGGAGCGTAATAGTTACTGAATTTAAAAAAAGAAAAATAAAGCAAATAATGAGAAATTATTAAGAAACATCATTTCTGCTTTTATTCATTCATTTAACAAATGTGTATTTACCAAGAAGCTGTGTGCCAAGCTCTCTGCTGTTCTGAGACCTAACTTCCCCCACAGAACTAGAGTCCTCCTCCCTAGCTAGAGTATCTTAACACTTCGGTCCGTCTTGTAGGCAGTGGGCATAGCTAGGATGGCTGTGTATTTCTATAAGCCCAGGACAGTCCCAATTCACACCTACTGTCCCAGTGTTAATTATTAATAGCATCCCCTTTCTTTCTCAACAATGCTCTGGTCTAGACAATTCTATAGCCCTAAGACTACCAAATCTTTTTAGACTAGCAGACTAGGGATTCAAAAATTCACTCCATATTTACTATCTACTTCCAGTCTTGCTTCCTCATCTATAATATGGGCATAACACTGATCAAATTAACTGGTTATACAAAGGGAAGCAGTTGGGAACAGGCTGGAACATCACATTTAGATCATTTTGCCAGGGCCTTGCATGCCAGATATATAAATACTTAATATATAACAGACAGCCATAAAAACTTTTGAGGAAGGGAGTGTATGTATGGCCAAAGCGCCATGAAAGTGTTACTACCTTGATTAAAGAAAAGAACTAAGGAGGAAAGAGAAACAGGAGGCTCTAGGTCATACCACAAAGACAGCCTAAAGCTATAAATAAAGAAAGGTTGTCATGGATGAAAATAGCAACAAATATGCTATTTCATCACTTGCCTTTATGTGTAGTGTAAAAGTTTCAACAATAAATACATGCAACTTAGCAAATTGTGGCTCATTGTTTTGTGGTCTTGGGGGTCCTCAATGCAAGGGACTGGCTGTAAGGAAGGTTCTCAATGACCCGGCTTGCCCTCTTGCCGGTCAGTCGTGTAAAGGAGCTGTAGTTTGGTTTTTGTTTCGTTTTTATATTAAGGGCTACACTGAGAACACAATTCGTTGTCAGGAGTTTTCCAACATGAAAGAGATGGGACTGGAATCTTAACCCGCCTCCTCCAGATCTTCCACTATTGCATCATTTGAAACTAAACCTCCTCCAGCAGCGACTTGTAAAATTCAAGTCAGGTAAAATGGCAGCAGCAGCAGCAAATGTGGGTGCTGCTGCCGGCCTCAACTTCCAGCGCACGAGGGAGCGTCTCTCCGGAACTGCCAAGTGCGGCTGAAAGGAACAATCAATAAATCAACAGGTCCAGCGCGCGCGCCAAAGGGTGCTCAGACCCCCGCGCGCCCGCCACCGGAGGAAATGGCTATTTAAATACAGTGGAGAAGTGAAGAGGCCGGAGTCGGTTCTCTCCCGTCCACCACCGCCACGGCGGACCTGCGTGGGAAAGGCCCGTGCCCTGTGGACTGCGGAGAAAGCACCAGTTCCTGGGCTGCTGCTCCGGTCCTGCAGCCCTCCGGCCCCTCGGCAGCCCGTGCTCTATCCGCTCGCGCAAACACCCCTGGGGCTCCTTCCTCAGCCTGTCCTCCTCCTGTCACCGACTGAAGCCTTTCGGTTCTGCCACCTGGAAACTTCCACAGAAGTGAGATTCCACAAACCCCGAGGGCCAGTATCGGGACTTCAGGGTCAGACCTCAAAAAGCCCAGGCGCTCCTGAACAGTCTCAGAACAGCCCAGGGCTGCGAGTCCCGCGCTCCCGCACACTCGCACCCAACCACCCGCCGACCCGACGTGGTGTCCTCTATCCCACGACCCCGCGGTGCCGGCGCCCCAAACTCCGCAGCGCCTCCGCTCCGAGCGCCCTCCTCGCGGCCGCAGGGAAAGACCTCCCAGGCCGGGTGCCCTCCCCACCCCGCCCCCCCCGCAGCCCCTGCCCCTTCCTCCGAACCAGAGGCTGCCTGTCCCAGACTGGGGACCAAGGGGGCGGACCCTGGCCGTCCCTGCCGGGCTCGCTCATCCCTCCCGGACTCCAGGGACAGTACCCGCACCCCCACCAGCCAGTACCTCGTCCGCCTCCAGCTCTGCTCCGTTGCCTACGAGCGCCATGTTCCTCCTCAGGCTGCAGCCACCCAAAACCCAGACAGGGAGCTCAGAGCCTGCGAGGTTTCTCGACTCGGGACTCAGCACAGCGCCAGTGAGGGAGGAAGGGGGCGGCCCCGGGCTCCCGCCGGGTCGCGGGCGGGGCCAGCGCCGAGCTGAGCGAGTGCTTTCCCCGCCCCCGGCGCCCGCAGACCAGCAGAGCATCCATTTCCCCAGCCCGCGCCAAGCGGCCCGCCTCGCCGCAAGCTCCGCCCCCCGCAGGCCTCGCCCCGCCCCCCCACGCGACTCAAACTGAAGAGTTAACCAGGTTCCCGCAACGAGTCTCCGCCCCCCGAGTGGGCGGGGTCACCCGTGGGTAGGGTCACTTGGTGGGCGGAGTCATCTCGCAGGCTGAGACTTCGGTGGTTTGGCCCACGTTCTGGGCGGGTGCTTGCCGGGGCCCAGCATAGTGAGCTCTGCCGAGGCGTGGGGGCGGGAGAGGATGGGGCTCTTGGTAGCCTGGAGGCAAGAGAGCGCCTAGTTGACGAGATCGAGGGCGCGCTACTCTACAGGCCGGTGGAAGCGTCCACCTGGTCCGTGGGCCGATGCCAGTCCTCTTGCGTCGCCATGTGAGACTCACAGATAATGGGGACCAGAGGGCAGCCCTGGGTCACTCAAGATCACCTGTCACCCAGAGGCCTCTGTCACGCCACGTGCCCAAACACTACGTCAGATAGAGGCACGCTGTGTTTACTTCTGTGTATGTTCGAAAAATAAAGGAAAATCCACGGAACAGATACTTATATAAGTTGGAGCTCCTCTACCCCTCCTCCTACTCCCCTGTCTCGATTATGTCCGCATAACATCCCACACTGACTTTTGTGGCCCCAAACACATGTATCTAATTCATGCTTGAACGGTAAGCTGTATGAGGGTTGAGATGCTGTCCACTTCAAGGCTGTATCCTCAGCACTAGAACAGTGCCTTGCACATAATAGGTACCCAACAAATATTTGCTGGCTGAGTTTAGAAATTCATTCTTGCTTCTAACATGTAATAATTAAACTATCCAACTAGAAAATTAAAAGCTATATTTTTTAGGGTTGGGGTATTTTTTGTCTGCTTTGTTTCACACACAATCAAATTCGCCAAGTTTAATTCCATGACAAATGTTTACAAAACACCATCCTAAAAGTTCCCTGTGCTCCTTTGCTGTCATTCATGCCCCCTCCCCCCTCCATGGCCTCTGGCAACCACTGGTCTACTTTCTATCACCATCGTTTTGACTTTGCTAGAATTTCATATAAATTGAATCATAGAGCATGTGGTCTTTTGTGTATGGTTCGTGAAAGGCTATTTAATGGTCATCCAGTGATAATCATAAAAATAGCTAACATTTGTTGAGTACTTACTATAGGTCAGGACTATGCTGAGCACCTCATACATATTATCTCATTTATCCTTCATAACCCCATGAAGTAGGTACTAGTATACTACAGATGAATAAATTGAGGCTCAGAGAGTTAAGTAACTTATTTGAGGTCAAACAGCTTTAAAGCAAATAAGGATGCCTGAATCTGAGCTCCAGCAGTCTGACTTCAAGGGGTAGCTTTTAACCATTGTTCTGTACTGCCTCCAGCCACTCTCCCTCTCTTTCCCCTTATTTGTTTCAGTAAACCAACTGCCCACACATGTCTATTACACATGTTTTCAATAAATCCCCTTTGCATCCTTGAAACTTGCTCTACAATGGTTTCTATCCCATGAACAATGAAAAAACTAGGTTAGATTGTCCTGATGGTTGCACAACTCTGAATTTTCTACAAATCATTGAATTGTATGCTTATGGGTAAATTTTATGGTTATCTGTATTCTCAATAAGGTCATTTTTTTAACTGGTCATCTTCTCTCTTTTTTTTTTTAATGTTTATTTTTGATAGAAAGGGAGATACAGAATCTGAAGCAGGCTCCAAGCTGTCATCACAGAGCTAGAAGCAGGACTCAAACTCCCATGATCTGAGCCAAAGTTGGACACTTAACTGACTGAACCACCCGGGAGCCCCAACACCTTCTTTAAAAAAAAAAAAAAAAAAAAAAAAATTAGTTATTTATTTTTTAGAGAGAGCGAGCCAGCAGGGGAGGAGCAGAGGGAGAAGGAGAAAGAGAATCTTAAGCAGACTCTGAACAAGACGACCCAGGGCCCAATCCCTTGGCCCTGAGATTATGACCTGAGCCAAAATCGAGAATAGGTCGCCTGACTGAGCCACCCAGCTGCCCCTGGTTAACACATTCTTTGGGTGCTCTTAGAATCAAATATATGGGCTAGAAGGGAACTAAGAGTCTTTTAATTCCAATATGCCTGAAAATTTCCATTCCTCCTCCCCTCCACCCTCTTTTCTGTTTATGCTTCACTTTCTGAGGCTAGATTCCCGTCTGGGTCCAGATTCTACTCTATTACTCACACATGATTCCACTTTTTAAAGTTCATTGGTTCCTAAATTAATATCACATCTTTTTGACGTGAAACCATCTCATTGGTGGCTTCTCCCTCTCCCATATGCTTTGTTATTGTCTTACAAATTTCATCTCAAATTTTGAAGAGATACAAAAAACTTGGCTCTACATTTGTAGTATGTTGATGTTATAATGAGAATCAAGTCCAATTTTTTAGGAAATCTATTCTTATAAAGTTTGGTGGGTTTTCTTAAAAAATCAGGGATCATATCTGAAGCTCTGTATGTTTGTTTTTTTTTAAACAGTTAACATTTTAATGTATATTCTTAGAGGTTTTCTATGCTTAACATACATTGTTCCGATGGAACCATTTTGGGGTTTTTTTGTTTGTTTGTTTTTATTTTTATTTTTTAATGTTATTTGAAACCAGGTTAGTTAATATGTAATGTAATTGTTTCAGGAGTAGAATTTGGTGATTCATCACTTACATATAACACCCAGTGCTCAAGGCTCTGTATGTTTTAAATTCATGTCACTAGATAAGCAACACTCATATTTCTAAGGAAGCCAGTTGTAAACACTAAATGAATATGTTCTAGCCACTGGAACATCTAATCAAATTTGCTTTGCTCCTGGCAGATGCCAACTTTCTCTGCACATGTAGGATTCTACAAGATCATGAGTCACAAATATAAAACAGATTTTTTCAAAAACCAGAATGGATTCATTTTTGCCACAGAATTCATTGCCAGTTTGCTGATAACATTGTACTCTTAACAGTCAAGTGAGATACTCAAATATTTCATTTCCCAAAAGTAACTAATATAGAGATTAAGCAAGAGCAAGTGCTTGATTTTTTTTTTTTTTTGAAGGCACACCTACTGACAGCTGTTTGGATTTCAAAATAATTCTAATATTGCTCACAATCTTATCTTTGGCATTAACAGATGGAGCATTTTTTCGTTGATACTTGATTTAAAAAGAAGTTGTATCTTCATCATTTGTGTAGTGGGAATTTTGTTTAGAAACAAAAATTTTTAGATGACCGTAACCACGAAATAAGTGCTCATTGTAAATTGCACATTTGTTAATGGCTTTGTCTCACATTCATATCTTAGCTCCTGGAGGAGAACTTTCCCTTCTAACATAGCCTCTCCCTCTCAATTACACACTCCCATGTCCTCCTAACTATAGCACTTTTTCCTATCTGAACTATCTTGCTCATTTGTTTATGTGTTCTTGGTCTATCTCCCTCAACAGCAACACCTCCACACAGACACTGTAATGTAAACTCCCATCAGGAAAGGAACCCTGTGTTTTGTGTTTATAATAAAACCCCAGTGCCCAAAACTTAAAATAGATACTTAATGTATGGTTATTGAGTGAATAAATGAAAGTATAAAAAAGCTCATAGTACACAGAGCATTTTGTTTAGGCCTCGTAAAGCCAATGCTATAGCATAGTAAGTTTTTGTAAAGAGGACAGAACCAGTAATAATGAGGGACATTAAAGATGGCAAATTATGTGAAATACAAAAAGTAAATACTGTTTTTCTTAGGATAATGTGCAAAGCATGATAACTGTCTCTGATGCCAACTCATTTTTTCAAAATTATATAAGCATTTAGAGTTCCCTCTATGACCTAAAAGGGATTAATTCATGTCTCTGGGAGAGGCTTAAATGCTAGGGGAAGAAAACTCATCATTTAGTGGAGGCTGAAATATCCCTTAAGAATATCCCTATTCTAGGCATTTTGGAGCAGGGTCAACATTCAGTTTACCAGTTTATCAGCTCTTTGTTTTAAATATATATGTAAATATAAATATATATTTATACATTATATATTTTTTATGTTTCTAAAATCTTTCCAATCATCTTCCTATTTATTTCCCCTATGTCTCTTTAAATTATATTAATCTCATTTTTAAAATTTTTTTAATATTTATTTATTTTTGAGAGACAGAGAGAGAGACAGAACGTGAATGGGGGAGGGGCAGAGAGAGAGGGAGACACAGAATCCGAAGCAGGCTCCAGGTTCCCAGTGGTCAGCACAGAGCCCAATGCGGGGCTCGAACCCACAAACTGCAAGATCATGACCTGAACCAAAGTTGGACGCTTAACTGACTGAGCTACCCAGGCACCCCTAATCACATTTTTTTCAGATGAGGAAAGGTATTTAAAGGGAAATGACTCTGGGCGCCTGGGTGGCTCAATCAGTTAAGTGTCTGACTCTTAGTTTCAGCTCAGGTCATGATCTCATGGCTTTGTGGGTTTGAGCCCCACACTGAGCTCCACACTGGCAGGACGAAGCCTGCTTGGGATTTTCTCTTTCTCTCACGCTCTCTCTGTCCCTCCCCTGCTTGTGCCGTCTCTGTCTCTCTCAAAAAAAATAAATAAACTTTAAGAAATTAAATTAAATTATTAAACTAAATTGAGGGAAATGACTCAACAAAGGCATGTGCCCTTTCCCCCTTCTGCCTCTCCTCCTTCCCACAGCCCGGAAGAGAGATGTGACGGTTGGAGCTTCTGCTGTCCTATTGAACCATACCTTGAGAATGGAAGCCAAAAATTAGCATGGTGGAATAAAAAGACAAAAGGAGTCTAGATTCCTGATAACAGTGGAGCTGCCCCAAAAGTACCAATTCCACATTTACGTTACGTGAACAATAAATCCGTTATTATCTTGCTTAAGCTACCATTATACTGAGTTTTCTGTGATATGCAAACAAACCTAAATCTAAACGTACACGTGTCTAATTCAAAGTGTTATTAGAT